CTGAATTAAAGAAAATAATTTGGAGGTTGTTCAAACTTGCTAAGCCTAGAAGTGGTTCTGTTATTTTCTGCTCAACAATCTCCACTCTGACGATATTAAATTTTTATCTTACAAGTTTGTCTATAAATATAGTCTAAGTAAACAGCGAAGCAGTTGGAACAAAATGACATTCCAAACAGTATGATCCTCTGGACTGTTTTTCTCCTTTTAGATTTCTAGCATACACTTCATTTATAAAAAGATACATGCATTATTTACCTAAATAGTTAGCAAATATTGCAATTGTAGCTCAGCCAGAAGCTTTCATTGAAGAAATTTCCATTCCAGTAAGGTGAAAATGTTTGTTCATGTATTTGCCAAATACCAAGCTTCAGATCCTAGAAGTAGAAAATAGTTAAAACACTGAAAAGAATAAAGAATAAAATAAAGATCAGTAATTTTAAAGAAGTTCTTAGCTCATTTCCTATAAGAATATCTGGCCCTTACATTTTGATCTCATTGTTTTTTCTTTAACTCTCTTTTGTGATAGTTATTAAAAACCCAAACTAAGGGAGAGCACCACATATTGGAAACTGAAAATAAAAAACTTCTAGAAGACCAAGAAAAACTGAAGGTTGAATTGAAGAAGACATCAGATGGTAATGTTGTATGTGTGTGCAAATATGAAAATACTGAAATGATATTTTGTGTTGTTATACTTCAGCAAAACTGTTTTCCCTTAAACAAAATATTCAAATGTCCTTCTGGCTAAAATATCAAGAATGACTTATTTATAAATTCTTACTCAAATACAAAGATAAAACCATAATTTCAGCCAAGATAAACATCCTCTGTTATATAGAAAAACATGTAGGTGTTTCAGATCTGTGTTGTAAATACAGATATTTCTTGCCTTAGCAAAAGGGCTATGTTCCTGAAAATTTGTGTGTAAACAAGTTTTTGTAAAATAATTCACATTTTTCCATCATTGTACATTGCTTATTTCTGAGAAACAATCACAAGGGAATAGTTTTTATTAAATTGCTTACTTCAGGCCCTAATATTTCCTACGTATTAGATTATGAGCAAAGCGTTCCCTAAAAGAGATGGATAGGCATGAAAGAAGCAACTCAGGAATGTCAGACGATAATTTGTGTACTCTTTCCAAAATGTAGTGCTGTATGAGTATAGAATCTACACTTGATTTTCTCGAAAGCAACTATTCTCCTATGTTTTTTTAAAAAAATATTTCTGTTAGTATTTTTTTTCCCTTCAGAGAATAAAGTATTGCCTACAGCCTTACAGCGGGAAAGTGTACAACCTAAGTCCCAAATAATCCCAGAAAAACTCAGTATAAGTTTGTGACTTGACCCTTGAGGCAGGTGTGTGGCTATAACCAGGTATAATGGGATGTTGGCTAGAGACTAGAGAAGTGTTTATTCATCAGAATTAAGGTAATAAAGCGATAATGAATCGGGCGTCTCCAGTTCAAATCTCTTCTATTACTTTAAAGAAAGGCAAAATGAAAAATTTTCAAGGACCTACTTTTCTGCCATTTATAAATTTGGATTTTCTCTTAAGTTTGTGGTTGTAGGTATCAGTGTATTAAAAATTCCCAGTAATATAATTTACTGTTATAAAGTATTTGCTTACATTATTTTAAAGAGGTTTACTGTACCAGAGTTTAATTAGAGATGGATATTAGGGTAAAAGTTAGTTTTGTAAAACAAAACAAAGATTTCTTTTATAACATACACAATTCTATTTCTTTTATCATACAAAATTCTACAGTCCTCATTTATAATGAAAAGGAAATAGTTTAGGGTCAGTAAGTTTAAAAAAGTTCCCTTCAAGATAAGGTGGCATATTACGCTGATCCTGGCAAAGAACAGCTAAATGCGAGAATCTTTTGTTGTTCTTCCTTTGACTTTTAAAAACTAGTGTCCAACTGAAATATTTTGAGCTTTAACTTTTTAAATCTAAGATATAATATGTGAAACTCAGTATTATAAAATCATCTCTTTAACAAAAAAAGTAGGTTTGGAGAACATGAACTTTATGATAATGTAGGGATTGTGTCTATAATCTGGTAACTAGATATATCAGCCTCTGTGTTTGAAGTGTAGACTCCAGAGTTTCTTTCTAAACTAATCAGTGTTGAGGTAAAAGCAGATCTTACCTGCTTGAAGATGTTCTGTTTGGTTCTTACAAGATGTGTAATATTTTATGAACACTGTTAGCCTAAAGTAACTATTTTAGATAACATCATCAGTGACCTTGAGAAGATAAAAATTTTGTTTGTGAAGAAGGCATTTTCTGAATATGGTCTCATATTCTGTATACAAGTTTATTAAAATAAGAACTGAGAAATTATATCCATGGATAGTTCAGGATTGGGATGAATTCAGAAATGCAATTTCTTATAACACAATACTTTCTAAAACTGTTTCTTGCTTTTTAAGGCTATTAAGATCATGTCTATATAAAACTTAAGTAAAAAGCAGTGTGGTTGAGGTTATGGATTCTTTTCCATAAGAATTTTATTAGCTCTGCTATTGCTTAAGATGACACAGTTTCTAAAAAGTATATTCATGGAAATAGAACCTAAATTTAAAAGTACATTTAAGCACACAAGTCTCAAACTGGGAGAATGGAATTCTGAAAGCAGGTGTTTAGTGTATTGTATCAGTAGTGCCAAATTCTTCACCAGTTTCTAGCCAACAGCTCAGACTCTGACCAAGATTAATGATTTACCTTTGCTGCAAAAGAGTGTGATCCAAGAGGGAGTGTGCATGTTCTGAACCACCTGATTTACACTCAGGACTAAGTCAGGAACAAGGGGCCTGATTTGTCACCTCTAATCTATTTAGCAATAACTGATATCCCAGTGTGCAGAGTAGTTGGGGAAGTGCACTGCCATGAATAATATGGGTCTAACTTAAACTTTACAAAGGCCTTGCAGCAGAAATAGATCTTGTCTGTGGCAGGTCAGAGGCATAGCAAGTATTTGAAAGGACCAATGGCTTGTATCAGGTGCACATTAATCTTTAAACTGACATCCTTGCTCTCAAGCACTTCGGAGAGGTCTCTGATTACATACTCTCCCAGTGCAGCTAGTCTTTTGATGCCCTGACTAATGGTACCAAGATTGTTGATTGTGTGTATCCATGTAAGATTAAAAACTTGACAGTTTCTGTCTTTTTTCACCCGTCATGATGCTTCCTGTTGACCCAGTGGTAAAGCGTTTTGTTTTCTAGATGTCGGGATACATCCATACTGAAGGCTGTAGTCTTTGTTCTTTTGCAGGAAGCACTCCAAGTCCTCCTCACTTTCAGAAAGCAGGGTTGTGCCATCTGCAGAACACGGGTTGTTGATGCGTCTTCCTGTGACCCTGATGCCACATTCTCTTTTCGTAAATTCTAGCTTCTCGAATGATTTGTTTGGTATAGAGATTATAAGGTGACAAACCATTCCATGTTCCCTTGCTCTGTTTGCATAGCAACTTCTTGGTCTAGGTATAGGTTTCACACGAGCACAGCCAAGTGTTCTAAGATTCCCATTCTTCTCAGTGTTATCTACAATCTGTTATGATCCACACAGTCAAATGCCTTTGCATAATCAATAAAACATAAGTAATTTCTGGTCTTTCTGGCATTTCCTGCTTCCAGCCAAGATGAGCTCCCTAGTTCTATCTCTAAGAAATATAAAATTATGTTAGTGCTGCTAACTACTGGTTGCTGTTTCTGTTCACTTACTGCTTTCTTTCAGTATGTTCAGCAGCAAAACTTTAAGTTAGATGGAGATGAGTGAAGTAAAAAGTAAAGGGTAGCAGAGATTTTAAGGTAAAAATATGTACAGGCTTTCTAAACAGAAAATGAAAAAAACCTTGCAAAGCCACATCAGTGGTGAAATATGTAGTGGTGAACTCGGGTGATATGCTAACCAAAATGTGCGTTATTCAATGTTCCACTTGTTCACTGGCTAATTAAGCTTCTATTTGATTTCTACACAGAAGGTATAATACTACTATTCTTTCATGTGGATGTCTTGGGAATATCTTAATCAGACCTAATCGGCCTAGGCTGTTTTAATTGCTTAATGTTGAGATGAACATCAATTAAATGAATTAACATTTGTTTGAGAAACTGGAATGTAAGTTTTTGCTTTAGAAGTTATCTGGTGGACAGTCCCATGTAAAAATCCAACATGGATTTCAAATTAACATTTCCAAAATTGATCTTAAATTATCTTCTCTTCCAAGTTCCCCCCTTTTTTTGTTTCTGGCTCAGTAACTTTTGAAATGGATGAGAAGCAACCACCCAAGGAAATGAAGTAGAAAATTAAAAGAGGAAAAAAGTTTTCACCTGAAGCTAAATTTCATGGCAATTGCCAACCTTCCCTAAGGTGTATACCCTTTATGCTTTCCTCATAAAAAAATGATACAGATAAAAAAGGAAAAAACTTTTAGAAGATGTCTTTCTCAGTCTACCCACAACCCCGATGTCAGTCCCCTTTTACAGCAGTGGCACTATGCAATATTTGTCCTTTTGTGACTGAGATATTTCACTCAGCATAATGTCCTCCAGGGTCACCCATTTTGAGTAATATTTCTTCAGTTCCTTGTTTTTCAATGCAGCATAGTATTCCACTGTATGAATATAATACAACTTCTCTATCCATTCGTTTGTTGATGGGCACTTAGGTTGTTTCCAGCTCTTTGCTATTGTGAACAAAGCCACGATAAACATGGGTATGCATATATCTGCTTGGGTGGCAGTTATGGTTTCTTTGGGGTATATCCGCAAGAGTGGAATTGCTGGGTCAAATGGTATTTCTATTTCCAGCTTTTTGAGAAAGCACCATACTGCCCTCCATAGTGGGTGCATCCATTTTACACTGCCACCAACAGTGAATAAGGGTTCCAGTTTCTCCACAACCTTGCCAGCATTTGATGTTGCTGTTCTGTTAAATTTTGTTATTCTTACTGGGATGAGATGAGATTTCATAGTTGTTTTGATTTGCATCTCTCTCAGAGATAGGTAGGGATTTTGAACATTTCTTCATGTCTTTGCCATCTGAATGTCATCTTTGGTGAAGTGTCTGTTCATATCTTGTCCCCTTTTTTCAGTTGGGTTGTTTATCTTGTTGTGGTGCTCAAGTATTTTATAAAGTCTAGATATAACTCCCTTATCTGACATGTCATTACCAAATATTTTTTTTCCCCAGTCTATGGCTTCCCTTTTTACCCTGTTAGAGAAGTTTTTGGATATGCATAGGGATTCATCTATTTTATCCTCTTCTGGTTGTAGATTTTTCAGGATGCTTGGAAGACTGTTTATGTTGTGGATAAGGACTTCTAGAGTTCTTCTAAGCTTTTCTTTAATGAAGTTTATAGTCCTTGGTTTTAGTCTTAGGTTCATGATCCACTTTCAGCTTGTTTATGTGTATGGAGTGAGGTGTGGATCTTGCTTGAGTTTTCTGCAGATAATTTTCCAATTTTGCAACACCATTTGTTAAAAAGCTCTCGTTTCCCCACTTAGCTGATTTCATCTCCTTGTCAAAAATCAGTTGACCATATAGGTAGATGGGCTGATTTCTGGGTTCTCAATTATATTCCATTGATCTATATGTCTGTCATTTTACCAGTACCACTGTCTTG